GCATGTTTAAAGGAGTACAAAGGAGAGAGGAAATTACAACTGAGAGAGGTTGTTTATTATGGAGAACGAAAATGATAATACCACAACAATACCGAAACAACGTGTTGGACATGATACATCAAGGACATATCGGAATGGTAAAAATGGAGATGAGAGCATGACAATACGCGTGGTGGCCTGATATAAACCAAGATATAGAAACCTGGGTCGAAAAATGTAGAGAATGCCAGGAACAACACGATATGCCTCAAAAGACAGCAATTCAAAATTGGCCAAAACCAAAAGCATGGCTCCGAGTACATATTGATTATGCTGGACCATTTCAAAATCATTATTGGTTGGTAGTGATAGATGCTAGCAGTCGCTGGCCAGAAATAGTTCCCATGACTAGCACTACAACCGAAAGCACGATAAAAATATTAAGAAATATTTTTGCAAGATTCGTATTTCCCAAAATAATCGTTTCTGATAACGGACCCCAATTCAGCAGCAAAGATTTCAATGATTTTTGTGAAAAAAACGGAATTCAATTAGTGCATGGAAGTGCTTACCATCCTCAGACAAACGGCATGGCCGATCGATTAGTTCGAACTTTTAAACAGAGTATGAATAAAAGAAACGAGAGGGATTTAGAAACCAGCCTAGCTATTTTTCTATACAATTACAGAAATACACCAGGAACAGAAACTGAACAAAGTCCCGCTGAAATACTACTAAAATTTAAACCTAGAGGATTGTTAGATCAAATATTCGAACGGGGAAACAAAAAAAAAGAAGTTTGAATACCACAATCAAAAATTTCAGATAAATGAAAAAGTTTGGTCGCGCCTTTACAATAATAAAGAAAAAAAATGGGAAGAAGCCATTATTAAAGGCATATTCGTATCACAACCTTATGAAGTAAGTATAGCGGGTAATACGATAATACGTCATATGGACCAATTAAGGAAAAGAACCGAAAATGTATTAATAGAAGAATACGAATTAGAAGAGAGTACTGAAGTAGAAGAGAAAACCGAAGAGATAGTAAACAAAGAGGATGTAATAAAGAATAACGATGAAATGAATTCAAAGGAGAGGGAGGAAGAAACAAGTCAAGGTCGATATCCCAAAAGGATACGATCGAAACCAGATCGACTGGGGATAAATGATGTGTATTAAATTGTGTTTTTTGTTATTTTTTGTAAAATGTTTATTTTTATTTTTATTATATATTTCGAGATTAATTTGAATAATAAAGGCTGATTTGGATTTTTTACATTACAAAATAAAAGAATAAGAAAAAACTCGTTTACTATTAAAATACATTACAGTCATCATTATCTATTTCATCTATTCTTGTTCTAAAATATTGTAATTCTGGTGCTTGATTTTGTATATTTGTACCATTTCTTTTCTTGATAGAGTTAATGTGTCATAAGTAAGATATTTCACTGTTTTATTTTCACTTGTTATTCTATCATCATTTTTCTCTATTGGGTTTCGCGATAAAGCATCTGCAATTATATTATTAGCGCTATTCTTGTACATTATATTATAATCATATGCAGATAATTTATAAGCCCAACGTAATAATCTTTGGTATGTTAATGTTAATGAGCTTAAATCTCTGTTATTAAAGGTTTGTGATGTGTTCAAATTTTAAATTTTCGTCCATACAAATAGTTATGAGATATTTCTACGCCGTTATTATTTCTTTTGCTTCTTTGTCTCTTGTAGAATAATTCTTTTTAGCGTCTTGTAAAGTTCCTGAGGTGTAAGCTATTTGAAATTCGTTATCATTATCATATTTTTGCATAAATACAGCTCCAAATCCTTGGTTAGATACATCTGTTTCTAATATTAAATTGAGGTCTGGTTTATAAAACTGTATAGTATTTTGTTCTGTTACTATTCCGAATAGCATGAAACGATTACGAAAATAGCACGGTGTTTTATTTTGGAATGGCAGATTAATCTTCGTACTCACTTCAAAAAAGAGTTTTACATATATTGCATACGGGACATCCGGATCTCACTTGAGGAAAAGGATATACTACAGACGGATATCCTACTTTGGTGGAAATGACAAGAGATTTGCCAAAGCTATCAAGATTAGCAAGAAAAATATTGGCAATTCCTGAAACTAGTGCTTTTTCTGAACGAGGATTTAGCATTGCTGGAAGGTTTTTAGAACAAAGAAGAACGTGTTTGAATCCAGAAAATGTGGATTTATTATTATTTTTGCATTATAATTACATATAATATCAATTTTATATTTATATTTATTTCATAAATATTCTATTTGATCAAATAAATTGTTCATAATTTAAATTGAATATTTTTTTATGCTTAAATTAATTTCCTAAATTATAAACTTTTTGTAGAGGTGTAATGCTGAAATATTTTTATTAGATGCTTAAAAAATTGAAAGAATGGCCATTATTAAATTTTATAAGTGGACTTGGGTTAAAATTTTTTATAAATAATGGGCGGGCGGAAGGAAGGAATTTTAGACAAATGGGCGGGGCAGGCGGGTATATCGGGTTAAAAAAATTTTAAAACATTGGTGCAGACCTCTATCACAAACTACGAATGTGTCGCCAACCTTTTCACACTCTTTTTTTAAAAAAAACAAAATCTAAAATTATTATTGCTGTAAAGTACAAGGTTAAACTTTTTAGAGAAAAGGCAATGTCATTTGTTACTAATTTTGGAAAGTGAGTAAAGTAACGACGTTTTTTTCTGAGTAATGTTAGCAAGAATGACCTTTATTTTTAGAACAGGCATAAAAGGAGTACATAATACTGATAACGTAAAAAATGGTGATTGGATATTGGCAATGGGTTAAACCTTGGAAAAGTAAAAAAAGTTTTGCTATTTGGTTGGTATGCTAAACGCAGATGGTGGAGATTCTGTTGTTGCAAGAATCAGACAAGCATAAAAGAGAGAGAGATGTCGCCTATTCTAACAAATAAAAACATCTCTTTGAAGTTAAAGGGAAAAGTTTACGTAAGCTGTGTGAGGAGTTTAGTTTATGGCGGCGAAACATGGGAAATGAAAGCGGCCTATGAAGCCAAATTGGATAGAACAGAGATGAGGATGATTAGATGGATGTGGGGGGTATCTAAAGGGATGCACCTTGATGAAGTAGGAGGATCAAGATCTAGAGGAAGGTTCAAGATGACGTAGATAAAGGTGATAGCGGTGGGTATGAGAGAATCTTACAATTATTGATGCTCAGGACCATCAAAAATGGAAAAGAAAAATTTGAGGGGAAACTGGGTAAACCTAGAAATTGTTATTAAAAGGAGAAGAAGTTATTATTACATACTTTATTTACATCATATTCTATCAGGCAAATTAAAATATATTTATTTAATATCTATTTAATTAAATAGCCTCAAATTTACAATATTTAAAATCGTTTACCAAATTTTAAATTGGTATAAGACTTATCAAAAAGTATTTCCCAATTTAAGTGTTTTAGCTCTTAAATTCCTGGATATCCCTGCATCCTCGGCTAGCAGTGAAAGAGCGCCTTCAGTTGCTTGTAGGACCTTTGAAGATAGGAGGACTTGTAAAAAGCCTGACAAAATTAACTCCTCATTCATTATTTATACTCACAATTATTCATCATTTATATATGACAATCATTCACCATTTATATATCACAATTATTCAATCTATTTTAAATGAATAAAAGTATGTTTCTAATTTAAATAAAATGCAAATTAATATAAATATTGATTATATTATGGCAATCAAATAAACTTTTATTTAAGCTAATACACAAAGTTTTAATTGTTTTTTGGATATTATAACATTCACACTCAAATAAAAAAAATTTAGTTGGATTTGGGTCAGGTTGAAAAAAAATTTTTGAATTTGGGCTTGGACAAAATTTTTTTTATAATTTAAGTTGGGTTGGGCTTGGAGATGAAAAGATCACTGCAGATCTCCACCCTGTATCTCGGGAACCAGGTGTGTAAGTGGGCTAAAATAAACAGCTTTCTCATTTTTTTTAATTATCTAAACAATTCCAGAAATTTTAAACACTTTTAAAAGGGGTTGGCTAAAAATGTGTCTGATAGATTTGAAATGGAATGGCCCAAATAACAGATGTATATTTGAAATGTACAAATTACAGCCTGGCCCCAACGAGTTTCAGTCCGAGTTGGGTCTATTTTTTAAAAATCATTTTGGTTTGGGCTTGGTTGGAATAAAATTTTTAATAAATTGATATATTTAAAATTCTTGCAAGAAACAAAGTGCTAATATTTTTTATTTGTATATTTTTTTAAGACCAAAAAAATATTAATTTTTCTATATTTAAATAAATTCTGGCCAGGCCTGGTGGACAAATAATTTTTATTTCAAGTTAGCCTTTTCGGGACAAATAAAAATTTTTGTTCAAGATTGGGCTGGGCAGGACAATTTTTTTAAAAAAATTTCAGGCCAAGCTTGAAAAATTAAGCCTGATGCAGATCTCTAATGTACATAGAAAAATATGATATGATGTATGTTGATTGTTTCAATAATGTGAAAGATAAATTCTAAATAAAAAGATGCTTTTAAAATGCATATAAGACACAGATATAAATATCTTATTAAAAATATTTAATGAAATAAATTACAAGATATAAGAGGAAGTTATATCTTAAATATAGATATACATGGTACCTGTATAACTATAAATATTTACCTCACTAACTAAATTATTACAGGTATAATTATCCTAAAGGATGATTCTATAGGGATTCAAAGTTCCCAGATATTTTATAAAAATCAAGGATTTATAAATAATTTAGTAATATTATCAAAATTTATAGATCAATAAACTTTTTTTGTGAGGATTTAGTTTAAACAGGTAGTTATTACAGTTATATAAAAACCTTGAAAGAAAATATAAGAAAATGATAGTATATAAATATCAGAAAAGTGTTTAAAATTATGTATTTAATCAAATAGGAACATCAAGAAATTCACATAAAAATAAAATAAATATTTTTTTTTGTAACCTCATAAACATTAGGGTGCCAAACTTTGGTAACAAATCTGATGGTAGGAGGAGCATATGGATAATCTTTAGGAAATCTCATATGTGCCTTAAAGTTTTTTTCAATAAGATTACAATATTTGAAATTTTAATATTAGAAAAAGTTTTTTAAATTTAAAACATTAGAATTATTCGATAAATATTACTTATTATATATATTATATTAAACATATTGCTCATTATTAACTCTTATAGTAATAAAAGTCATAATTGGAAATAATATCATAAAAGTGTTACAGTTTTTAACTTAATAGAGTGACAATTTGATTTGTAATGCCAATTAACAAGTTTAAACTAACAATAATTTTTTTATTTTAATCATAATATTTAAAAAAATTATATATAATATACCTTGAAGTAACCTCCTTGATATGGAGTATCAGGTGGACCAAAAATGGCAACTTCCCAATTAAAAAGGTCGTCATCTTTCATTAATTTTACTCTAAAACCCTCTACAGGATCCTCGATAACTGATTTGTACTCAAGAGCCAAGGCTCGAGTAGCACTGCTACTATTCATTTAATCTGAAAATATTAATATAAATGGTGTGTGTATATATATATATATACAAATATAAACATTCTAACCTTATTTACTTATTTTTTGGAATAATGAATAAAAATATGAATGAACAAGAATGACCTAATTAACATGAAAAGTAACGGCTTGATAACGTGATTATGCCATTAGACCTTAAAATAATTGCCAAATGTTATAATGTAGTGACTAGGCTCTTAAAAAAACTATAAACGGCCTGATTAAAATTTAGCTAAAATAATATTATGTATGCCTTGCAAACCTTCCAGCTATCAACGAGCATAATCTCCAGGCTTACATAATTTTAGCTAAAATCCTAATCGGGATGTTTTTAAAATCGACCCAAGTCAGGCTCTTAGCATCACTAGTAGTGACCATCATTAGCTTCAATAGGGAGACGCAGTGGCGTATCCAGGATATTCCTATAGGGGAAGGAATTTGAGCTATTCCATTAAATTATCTCAATTTTTTTTATTATTTTAAGATAGGTATATATTAATAAAAATTTTTAAATGTAATATTGAAAAAAAGTTTAGTTTCATTTTTTTATAAAATGCTTTAAAAACTAACTTACAATATAAGTGGAATAATTTTTTTTGAAAATAGTAATTGTAGTGTTTAAAAAATATTGACTAGAAAATAATTTAAAAAAGAAGTTTTCATAGCTTCTAATCAAATACAATATTATACAAAAAATTTATTAAATACTATAATTATAATGTAATTTTTAATTTTCGTCGGAAATTTTTCCAATTCATCAGTTTTGTTTGTGGTTGGAACCTAATCTCTGCGGATAGTTAACAGAGCTAATCCATTTAGCGGAGGTTTGGAAGTAAAAAAAGAAGTTTACAACCTTCTCATTTTGGAAAATGTTCTTATATTCGTACTTGTTGTAACAGGCAAACATGCATGAATAAAAAACAATTTCAAAATATTTGGAAATTGAGTCAAGGTTTTCTTACATCGATTGAAAGCATTAATAGCTGCTCAGGTAAAATAACCAAACGTATTAAATATTTATACAACAATTATTGATTAAATTGATTTCAATATCAATTTACCAATGGTAGCATCAGAAAATAGAAGAAGGGTCTTTAGGTAATTTTGAAGTTGTTAAAGACTTGTTTTTTTCCTAAAAACCTACTTTTATTTGTGATAAAAAAATATCTTAGAATGGGATAAAAATGAATATATTATAATTTTCTTCAGTTGAGTCAACATTTATATTACATCTCAGTAATTGGATACTAGACTAGGTTTAATTAAGGCTATATCTTAAGATTTAGCTTTCGATTCAACGTCTTGATAAATATTATAATAATATTCATCTACATTCATTCTTATTGTATATAGCTGAGTTATATATTTCAAATACTTTTTTGGATAAGATACTTAGTTAACCGTTTTTAAAAATAAAAGCAAATCGAGCAATTTTGCGCTATATATGGTGATAAAAAAAGACAATTATTCGAAGTACAAACCTCAAAATGGCGAGATAGCTACCTACACCCTTTCAAAAATAATATGATAGCAAATATTTTCCTAAACTTGGTATGCCATATTGTTTTTTTTTCACTTTATAATTAGGGTTCCATATCTTTATTTTTTATATAGTTAGCGTCTACATGACAGGATTTTCACTGGATGCAAACCCCCTTCAAAAACCTTTGCCTACCCCCCTAAAAAAAATCCCCGCCTTCGGCGACGGTGTCTCCCTATTATTATTTTTACCTTTTAAATATATTGATACTCTTTTCAGAGAATTTATAAAGGACAACTTAAATTAATCTTTCTCTACTACCAACTATCGATATTTTGTGAATGTAAAGAATTTATTTTTTAGATAATAAATTCATTAAAACCTCCATTATTTACAATGAATTAATTATTATGGCATTATGAGCTTGCTGAAATGATAGCAGAAAGTTTTATTTGGAAAACAATGTGTGTGATTGTTTGCAATATATAGATTTGGTATGAATTGCTTTATAATAATTTTATTATAAAAGTATTAATTTTTACCTTAGTAAATTTTGTCCTTTTTCATCTCAAAATTTAATATATAACCAAAAAATTAATCTTACCACCATTAAAGCAGCCTACCCCTTACCCCCATTAAATAGCCTACCCCCCTTCAAATAAATAGGATGCAAACTGTTCCTACCCCTCCCGCTCATGTGGACGCTGTATATAGTATGTTATTCTATTTCTGGATCAGACACTCCCCAGGATTGTGGAACAGCAAGGTACATTTTAGGGGATGTGCCATTTCAGATGCCATATTTTTATATTTTTTATAGTTATTCAAATTTAATTAATTTTATATATATACATATTTTAGTCAAGGTTTATTTATATCCAACATAATTTACATATTAATAAATCACTTGGAATCTAGGATATTGTTGTAGTTGAGAATTTAGAGAATACAAATAAATAGCATAAATAAATTAACTACTAATACTTTATTAAATAATATTAATGGTAATTAAATAAATCATAACAAAAATAAAGAAGCAAAATAAAAATTATAATTTAAAACAATTTCTTTTTTCTTGATATTACATCTTTTTATCGCTATATTTGTGTCATGATTTTATTTATTTTTGGTGTTTATTTTTTTGTCGTGAAATTATTTTTTATTTTTGTTAGCGCGGATTGATATTATAACATACGCGGAATCATTTTGTTTTAAGAGAAAGAAGACTTATGGTGAGTTGAGGATATTTTTTTTTAGTTAAAAAAAATATTATTTGTAATTTTTTTTTAAAATTTTTTCTGAAATTGTAATTTTCAATTTTTTGATTTTTTATAATTTTGTTAAAAATATAATTTTTGTTTAAGAAAAAAATAAAGACTAATTAAAGTTTCGGTGTCACTTTGTTTTAAGAAAAATAAAAGTAAAATAAATTTATTCTGGAAAGGGACAGTTCAATTAGTTAGGAAGGTCATTAAGTAACGGCACAACGTAATAGTTGGTGCCGTGACCAAAAAAATAAAAGGTGAGTTTTATTTTTTATATTTATATATAATTTTTTTTTAGGTATAAAAAATAAAAAGGAAAAACTTAACATTTGTTAAGGGCACAGTGGATTAACTGTGTTATTGAATTTATATTTTAAAGGCACAGGGGTTCTGTGGGATTTTTTTTTGAGAAAAATCGGTGAGTACCGTGGTTGTTAAGGTCACAGAGTTCTGTGGATTTTTTTGAGGGGGAAAAATTCGGTAGAAGTACCGGGATTATTAATAGGGATAGGAAAAATTGTAATTTGGGTTACAATGGAGTATAAAAGGGTTTAAAGAGTCTGATGTATTGTTGTGTTATTTCGGTATTAATTTTATTAATTGTATCATATTGTTTAACTCTTCAGGTAGTTAAGATTTTTTTAGTTAAGTTAATTATTAACTTTTTGTATGTAATATTTTGAGATATATTTTATTTTGTTAAAATAGTTAATATAGATTAATTAATTTAGAAATATTTTTAAGTTAATTTAGATAGATTTTGTTTCATTAATTTGATTAAAAAAATTTTTTCCTTAAATAAAATGAAGGGTTTTAAATTAACTAAATATGTAGAAGTACAGTATAATATATTAGGAGCGATAGTGGTATTGCTGATTTGGTTAGGTAGTTTATATTTCGGCAGGAGAGAACGCCAGAATAGAAGTATTAGGATACGGGAGCAGACGTTATTGATTGAAAGACATATCGGGGAAGAAGATAGATATGGTAGGGTTACGTGGTTGCCCGTGCAGGAAACGTTGCAGGGATGGGCAAGTAATGAAGATTTAAAATGGAGCGGTAAGGAAAAAGGAATTGAAGATGGAAGAATAGGAATACATAGAGGTCTAGGAGAATTTATGAGGTCGTTTAGGACGGAAGGTCCGAGAAATAGAAATATGGTATGTTATAAATGTGGGTTAAAGGGGCATATAGCCATGAACTGTAGGGACATTAAATGTTTTGAGTGTGGCCAAGGTGGTCACATTTCGACGTATTGTCCGGGTAAAAGAGAGAGATTAAGATGCTCTGGATGTGGAAGATTTGGACATGCGGAGAATGATTGCAGAGTGGGAAGAGTGGAAACCAGAGGAGGATTTCCCTAAAGAGGAGAGAGTTCGAATGCTATTAATGTGAGTAGTATGGCCGAGGTTTCAACAAAAGGTGAAATGGGGGTCGATTGCAAAATTATATGTTTCAAGTGCCGTGTAGAAGGGCATTGGGCAAGAGATTGCGACAGGGGATAACTATATGATGGTGAGGAAAAGAGAATTCAGGAAGGAGGGGAGAGCGGAGGGGCGAGAAAGGGTTATGAAAATGTTGAGGGAAGAGGGTAGAGAGGAAAAAGTATAACTTCCGAGTCCGAAAGTGTTGTTTAATATAAACGGGAAAATGATATCCATGTTGTTTGATGAGCAGCTATTTCGGTAATGGGATATGAAGATTTTAGAAGACTATGGCCGAATAGTACAATAATTCGGGAGAGGATTCAAGTGAGGCAGTTTGATGGATCCGAAATGGAGATGGTAAAAGTGAAAATAGGCGATGTCGGAAGTGACGGATGCCAAGTATTGGATTTATTAATAGAAGTGTAGAGTCAATAATGGGATGGGACTGGATTACGAGTGTTGGGCCGGAGTATAAATTTTGGGAAGTATTTGCGCAGTGGGGAGTATTTCTGGCCGTCAAAGAAGGCATCAGGGAGGATATTATAAAGATGGTCGAGGAGGATGAAGAAATTTACTGGAGAGATGGTGAATGGATGGAAAACCAAGACAATATAGAAGTGGATGAGGGGACATCCATGTTTTGGGGAGAAAGTGAAATGATGACAATGGGGGATCGTATAGAGGCGATGAGAGAAGGTCAAATGTTGATGAATAGGGAAATGGGAGGATGTTCAACAGTAACAAAGGAAATAATTGGACCGCGGATGCGAGGTATAGAAAATGGAGAATTACAAGGGAAGGAGTGGCAAGAACAAGGAAGAGAAGTAAATAGACCAGAGGAGTCTGTGGGGAAATTGGAATTTGTGAAAAAAAAGTAGGGCGGTTAGTCCAGGAATATGATGAAATTTTTAGTGAAGAGTTGAGTTGTTTGAGGGACTATGAAGTGGATATTCGGATGAAGAAGGGATGATTACCAAAATATTGTGCTGTGTGTAGAGTACCTTTTGAATGGAGGCAGGAAGTAGAAAAGAAGTTGGATCGGTGGGTAAAGGAGGGCATAGTGAGTCCGGTGGAATACAGCGAATGGGCGACGCCTTTGGTACCCGTAAAGAAGGCCAATGGGAAGTTGAGGTTGTGTGCGGATTTCCGGGTAACGTTGAATCCATGTGTGGTGGAGGTGAAGTATGCGTTACCCAGGATAGAGGAGATATTAGCCAGTTTAAAGGGGTGCAGATATTTTTCGAAAGTGGATTTTTCGAACGCGTATTTGCAATTACGGGTGAAAAAGGAGAGGCAGAGGTTATTGACTATAACAACGCTAAGGGCCTATTTGCTTTTAGAAGGTTGCCGTTTGGATTGAGTGTATCGGCGCCTATATTTCAACGGACGATGGCGGCAGTTTTTCAGGCATTAGAGAGAGTTTTTTTTTATTATATGGATGATGTACTAATAACGGGGGTTACGCCAGAGCAGCACAATAGAAGATTGGAAGAAATATTTCAGAGGATCCGGGAAAAGGGATTACGGGCGAGTAGAGAGAAAAGTGTCTTAGGAGTAATGGAGGTTGTATATTTGGGGCATCAGATTAATGGAGTAGTTGTTAAACCACTAGATAAAAATATGATTGGAATTGGAAGTATGGTAAGGCCGAAATGCAAGGCGGAGGTACAATCTTTTGTGGGAATGGTAAATTATTGCCATCAATTTGTCAAGGATTTTGCAGAAATAGCAACGCCGTTGTATAAATTGCTAAAGACAGGAGTAAGATTTGAGTGGGGAGATGAGCAGGATGCTGCGTTTGAAGGTTTGAAGAAGAGAATTGGAAAGGAGCCCATTTTGGTTTGTTTCAACAATGAGTTTGAGGTGATTCTAGCGGTGGATGCGTCCAGCAAAGGAGTAGGAGGGGCGTTGTTACATGAAATATATGGAATAGAGAGGCCGGTATTATTTTTCTACAGAATATTTCTTTAGGCGGAGACGAGATATTCTGTAATAGAACAGGAGGCCTTGGCCGTGATTTTTGGACTGACAAAGTGCCGGGAATATTTGATTGGGAGGTTTATTGTATATACGGATCACTAACCGTTGATATATTTATTCAAGAAGGATAACAGAGTTGATGATGTCTCCGCGGTTGCAGAGGTGGCTGTTGTTGGTAGGAAGTTTCGATGTGACGTTAAAATATCGAAAAGGACGAGAAAGCTACTTGCCGGACATTATGTCAAGATGTGGGGGCGGAGAAGAGGTTGAAGACAAAAGGGGGACAATGGTGGAGAAAGATGAAATGGCCATGATGAGGGCGATGTCAAGAATTTTAAAAGGTGGCCCGGTAAATTGGGAAGAAATTCGGACGGCGACAATAAAGAACAGAGATTTATGTATGATAAAGGAATGTATAATAGGTCGAAAATCCTGGAAAGAGGGCGATAGAGTTTATAAAAATGTTGGCAAGGAATTGACAGTGATGGACGATTGTGTAGTGCTGGGGAATAGAGCGGTGGTACCGTATAAACTGAGAGAGGCAGCAATGGGAATGTTACATGCGGGATATCAGGGAGTGGAAAGGATGAATCAATGGGGGCGAGATGGTGGCCAGGGATGAGGGGGAGATTGAGAGTTGGCAAGGAAGTGTGTAGTATCCAATACTAGGGCTAATATGCCAACAAAGGATTAAGGAAGTACGTGGCCGAAAGCATCAGGACCCTGGGAAAAAATCCATGTGAATTTTTTTGAATTTGAGAGGAAGGAATATTTTCTCGTAGTAGATGCGTACTCTAAATGGGTGGAGTTTGAGATGGTGGGAGGATTGACCACGAAAATTGTAATTAGGAAGTTGAAAAATCTATGGGCGAAGTTCGGGGTAGCGAAAGTGATAGTTTCGGATGGCGGACCGGCGTTTGGCAGTGCGGAGTTTGAAAGGTTTTGCAGAAAAAATGAGATAAAGCATATTCTAGCTCCTCCTTATCATCCGAGCTCCAATGGACAGGCAGAGCGGATGGTTGGAATAGTGAAGAATTGGTTAAGAAAGGCAAAGTACGGGAAAGGAGGGGTATGGGTATCTGTGGCGTACTATAATAATAGTAGGAAGGGAGAGGAGATGTCGCCGTCAGAGAAATTTTTAGGACACAGAACGAGGATTAGGTTGGATGCTTTAAAGCCGTGGTCAGATAGGCCAGAAATGGAACAAAAGGAGGAGAATAAAGTGAAGTTCACGGTGGGACAAACAGTGTGGGCCCGAGTATATGGAGAAAGGAAAAAGTGGCAGTCCGGAGTAGTGATGGAAAACGTGGGGAAGAAGTTGAGTAAGGTCAAGTTTCAGGATTGAAAAGTGGGCATGCGGCATCAAGACCAATTACGTAGAGGGGTTGACCCGGAGCAGCAATAGAGCTCAGGCCCGATGGATATAAAAAAGAATTTTTTTTTAATGGGGTCAAGGTCACGGATGAGGGTCAAGGGGATGTCTTACGGAGGATGGTAAAGGGGATGTTAAAAAATAAAATAATAAATAAAATATATATAAGTAATTGGTATTAAAAAGAGAAAAAATTTTCTTTGGTATAAATGCTAAATTATATAGGTAAATTCAAATGGTATGGGGAAGAAATTGGTAACATTTTTTTTTCCTATATACTAAATAAATTATGTATTATAATCAAATTGTAAGGAAAAATTGGTAACATTTTCCTCATAATTATTTAATTGTATATGAATATATTCCTCCTTAAACTATATTGTAATCGTTTAGAAAAAATATGATATTTCAGGTACCTCTTATCCTGAGAGTCTTAGACTACTTAGCGAATTCGATTCTTAATTTTCCGAATTCGTGTACTCTTATAGTCAAAGTTATATATTTTATTTTATTAAATGAATATTATTGTATTTTATTTCAGACTTCATGTTTGTAGGAACATTGTTAAATTAAGAACTAAATAAAACAAAAATATATTTTCTTAAAATAAATAAAGTATATATCCAAACATGTTTATTGAAATAATTTGGGGTTTAAATGTAGAATGGAAGGTGAGTAAACCGTTAGGGATTTATAGTTTTTTTTCTTGACCATATATTTTTTTTTAAAAAAATTAGTAATGGAAAAAAATTTTTTTAAAGTAGTATAAGGTAAGTCTAAGTGGTATGTAGGTCATTTTGTAGTTTGGTCAATTTTGGTAAGTGTGTAAAAATAAATAAATAATATAATAATAAGAGATATAAAATAATTTAATGTTTAATGGGTATATATAAAGGTAATAAGAAATATAAAATGATAGTTGGTTTACCTTTTTTTTTTGATTGTTGTAAATAAGGATAAGAGTATAAAAATGGGATCAGATTGTATTTTATATTTTTTTTTTAAAAAAAGGAAAATATAAATTGGATCAGATTTTAAAAAGGGGGAAGATATATATTTTTATTAAAATTGTTTTCGTTAAAGAAAATTTGTTTTTAAATGTGATTTATGTTTAACGAAAGGGAGCAAGAGTAAGGTTAAGGGAATGTTAGTAATATTAAGAAAGTTTGCATAAAACAAAATGAGAAATTGATTTATTTGTAAAGGATGGGGTTGGTGAAGAAAATAGAAAAAGTTTGTTATGAAGTAAAATTCATTAAGTTTGTGTTGAATTAAAAATCAGTTTAGTTTTTGAATTAAGATTATAAATAGTATTCGCTAACATATTGGAGTTATTCTTGAGGGATTCAAATAAAATGCCCATAGATAACCGGTAAGTATTGATTATTTTAGATTTTATATTTTTGTAGGAAAGGGTTAAGAAGTTTGTTATTTTTTTTTTCTCCCATAGTTTTCGGAATTGAGGAAATGAAATGTGGGGGTTTTTTTGGGGAAAAAATATATATTTGTAGATAAAGCTCATATTGTAGGAAATAATAATTCCGAAAAAAAAATATATATTAGTGGTGGGTAAGGTTAAGTACGGTATAGGGTAGTAGGGGTAATAAAGTTTATATATGAACCTATTATTATCGTGTCAGTTACATAGACTTAGGGTCGCATATGCTTCGAACGACTATAATTAGCAACGACATGGAGCCATTGGTGAGTGAGTGGAGAATGATGTCCAAAGATCAAGATCCAGGAACTTCTCGGGTTCAGAGTGCAGAACCCCGACTAATGACGCAGACGAGGTGGGAGGTGAACAAAGGGTCCTGTTTTCGATGCGGAGTGGAGGGGCATATGCGGCGGGACTGCCCTCAAGAAAATTTGCCAAGGAGACGAGAAATGTATGGAGAATTGGGAAGGTCCCAGCCCCGAACAATGGCGCCTCAAGGAGGACCGGATATATTGAGTGTAACCCCGCCGCCCCGGCTTATGATGCCTACAAGGCCGATGCAGCCGGCACGGCCGGTGCCACCAAGGAGACCGGGAGCCTTTGAATTGCCCTCCACGTCATCGCAGAGGCAGCCGGTGGTGTGGGACGCGCCCAGAAGGCAGGCAGTAGAATTTCTGGAGGTTGGGATGAGCACGAAGGAGTTAGATGAGTTGTTTGAAGACTACAGACCCTTACCCCCCCTCTAATAGGGAACTTTGGAGTATGGAGGGGTGGAGGTGTCATGATATTATTTATTTTTGGTGTTTATTTTTTTTGTCGTGAAATTATTTTTTATTTTTGTTAGCGCGGATTGATATTACAACATACACGGAATCATTATGTTTTAAGAGAAAGAAGACTCATGGTGAGTCGAGGATATTTTTTTTTAGTTAAAAAATTTTTTTTAATTTTTGGAATAATTTTTTAATTTTTTATGAAATTGTAATTTTTAATTTTTTGATTTTTTATAATTTTGTTAAAAATATAATTTTTGTTTAAGAAAAAAATAAATAGACTAATTAAAGTTTCGGTGTCAATTTGTTTTAAGAAAAATAAAAGTAAAATAAATTTATTCTGGAAAGGGACAGTTCAATTCGTTAGGAAGGTCATTAAGTAACGGCACAACGTAATAATTTGTACTACTAACATTTATTCAAATTTTAATATTTAACTTTATATATAAAAAAACTACTTTCCGTAACTATTCAAATTTATATAAAATACAAATAAAAATAATAATATTCTAATTATTATAATAGATATTTATATTGCGATTGCCATTATATTTCTATATTTAACAAATTTTAATTTTAATAAATATAATTTAAAATTTATTCAATATTATGTTAATAAAGCGAATATTATTGCATAATGATGGTGTCTAGATGGTACTGCATATTTCAGTTACTTAAGGTTAAACTTGTAAACTTAATTTTGAGAAAGGTTAAAATTTTTAGCAAAGTAGTAGGGGGGAAAATACAGGTTTGGGCAGATTTTCAAGGAGGTTAGATGTAATTTTAATTTTTGGGGATCATTAGTGATATAGGGTATGTAAAAGCGGTTAAAGATGCGAAAACTCCGTCAAGCAAAATCCTGACTACACCTTTGAAACTATAAAAGTGTCAAGAATATAAATATATTAATATTGAAAAACTATATTTATATATGCACATTTAAATATTTGAGTTAAGATTATAAATTTTTAAACATTCATTCTTAGTGGTACACAACTAATTTTCTAGCTGGCAAAACGTCAATAGATTATCTTAATACATAAATCAATTAAAACATGGGGAGCAAACAAAGAATTAGGTTAATGAATGAAAAATATCAGAAAACTGTTGCGCAAGGAGGTACATTGAGCAAGAACGTAATATATATTGTATGTGAATTTTTTCTAAATTCTCTGTTACATTAGATAAAGCAACAAGGTCCACCAGTCGGTAAAGGACTTTTGGCGTTTTTCATATTTGTAGTTTGTGGCTCTGGTATCTAATTTTTATTATGTTTTGATGTATTGTATTTCCTCATAAAATTTAGCCATATTTCAGATAATACAAAGCATAAGAGGTGGATTTTAAATGGAAAATAATATTGGAATATATATTGCAATATGTTTTATTATTTATGCTCATTATTTATTTAACATATTTACATTATATCATTCATTCCTTTTATTTTATCCAAATGTTTTAATATATAAGATGGAAATTAATTTTTATGGGAAACAATAATTAAATAAATTTTTAAATATCTTTAATTATGTTATCTTTTTCAGTTTGAGATAATATTTGATAACTAAAAGATTGTTTGAAAAATTTAACAATATATTCATCATTTAAGTATTAAAACTTATTTGTAATGAACTAGATGTATTGAGTAAATTAAATAATCTTAAAAAATATACCAATGTTTAGAAATAGTCAAGTACTAGAAGAATCACCAAGATTGCATTTGCAGAATAAATTTTAGTATGCGATTAACAAATAATCAAGAAAAAATTAAATAATAAATCATTAGTAAATTTAACCCCTACATGTATTGAAATATTTAAGAGCCCTGGACTACAAAAATATATATAAAGCAATGATGTTAAGGTTTCATTTAATCAATTTCTTAAAATAAAAATAATATTACCTAAGTGTGCAGTGCAAAATTGAACATTTCAATACATAATTTGCAAATGCTACATTTTAAATGCATTCATTTAAATTGGTTATCTTTTTTTTGTTTTAAATTTCGACTTTTCCTATTTAAAATATATATAAATTAATTTCAATTTAATACGTTTTTTTATTTGCCTTTTGAAATACTGCATTGAAATGTTCAATTTGTGTGCACTCTAAGCCTTAAAATTTTGACAATAGATGTCTAAACCTTTCTGCCATCTCTGGGCAAAATAGCTAAGTTTAGGTAATATATCAAATTTGCACAGCAGAACCCTTTAACAACATTACTACTATTACAAAGGCTTGGATCCTAAATCAGTTTATTTAAATAAGAATTTTTATAGGATTCTGATAGTTAAAATAAACTATCAAATATTAAGTCTTGATTAGAGGTCTATAAATGGCAAAATTTTTAGGCCAGCCCAGTGGGAATTTATTAATTTTTACCTGGTCCCTGTTTCAAGTTTTGGCTAAGGTTGCTCAGCCTGGATTAATAATTATTTTGAGGGGACTGGTTAAATTAAAAACTATATATCTTATGAATTATCAGAATTTTACAAAAATATATTAAAAAATCAGCCTGGATTGTTAATTTTTTGCTTGGCCCAAATAAAGAGCCAGACTTTGCAGACCTTTACCTGATATAAAATATATAGAATAATTTTATAATTACTGTCTCAGTATAGGATCATTATTGTAAAATATGTAGCCTGGAGCACCACTTTATCTCAAAAAGGAGCTAGCTATCACTCCCAATTTGTGGTGCTCCAGTATTTAAAAATTGAGAGTGGTTAGCTCTTTTTGAGATAAAGTGGAGGAGTTCCCCTCCTTTGCTTCTTTAATTATACTGCATTCATTAAAAATAATCTTAATATTAAATGTTGATCCAAGTTGTTATTTATTAGGGATGTACCGATATTTTTATCGGATCGGGCCGATATTTCACCCATTTTAAATATCGATTATCGGCCAATATTATAAAATTTGATCCGATATAAAATGGCTTTTTAACAAAATATATAAAATAAAAAAAGTTATATCTAAAATCATTTATTTTTATAAATAAAATCAAAATCCATATGTATATTTTTTAAATAATAATAAATTAATAAACATTCTGCCATATTGTTATTTTTTTGCTCATTCTGTTTATAAAATTGTGTGATAATCTTTTCAAAATCAGTTTTTAATGAAGGTGGTTATATTGACGGTTACCATCGCCGCAGGCTGATCTCTTATAAATTAATTTTGGTATTTCTAAAAAAAATCTTGATATATTAATGTTAAATATTTATATCAAATTTCATATAAATTTGTTTATAACTCATTATGTATATAGATTAATGTATTACTTTTATATAAAAGTGATTTAACAATAAAAATATTTTATATACTTTTAGAATTGCATTTGAATTGAATATAAACTATAACTGATCATTATAATACATTTAAATGATTTAAGTTATGGTATAGTTAAATTATAGATGTTATACTAATACTAATAAAAAGTATATTAAAAATTAAAATCATTGTTATCTTTACAGAATACAAAATTAGATATGATATCGGATTGGTAATCGGCTGATATCAATTTAATATTGGAAATATCGGATTGGCCTCCAAAAGGGGGTATCAGTACACCTCTATTATTTATATTTTTTTATTCTCTTTTCCAAATCATAAAACATAAAAGACGATATAGTATTGTTACCAGCAGAGTTGGGCAGGTCCTCCAGAAAAAGAATCTAGATACAGATTCTTTATAAAAAAGTGAATCTTAGATAAAGATACTAGTATCTTTTTCAAAATATCAAGAAGATACAAGATAAAGATACTTGTATCTTTTACTAAACTAGAGTATCTTAAATACAAGATACTTTTTATTATCATTACCAATTAAATTAGAATAGTTTATAAAATACAGTTTTTTTTATTTATTTGTGAAGAACATAACATACTCATAATAAGAATCAATATTTACAATAATTAATTAAATATTTATTGATGAATTAATTATAATAACCAGAGATTTTAATATTATCTTTTGCCCATTAATAGCATAAACAGGAAAGTGAGAGTAGTATATTTAATGTGAGTTGAAAATTTGAAAAATAAAAAAAATTAAATCAAATTATTATTTTTTTAAATAATTTATCATTGATCCTTTACCTTTTTGGCATATTTAGCATTGTGTTAAAACAAAATAACCTATCAACAGGAGCTGATGAAGGTATGGCAGTATTATATTTAAAAACAATTTCCTTAATTAAAGGATAAAAATTTAGCATTTCTAGTGTTTTTTGGTGGTCTTTAATATAATTTAAAACCTCGAGATCAATGTTGTTTGTATTGTTGAACTCAACAACATTTGCTTCACCAAAAGAAAAATAATCATAATTTTCTTCATTAGATACTAAATCTACAGATTTAATAGCATGAGCTTGATTGTACTCTATAGATGCAAGATTTAAGGCTTCATTTAATAATATATTTTGAAAATATTTTTTTTTATTATTAGATTCAATCCATAGGTTCTTAAAATATGGATGTGATAATGGGGCCAAAAAGGTCTCATTATATTCATCATCATAAGAAAAAAAATTTCCAAATCTTTTGCCCATGGCATTTTGGACAGCTTTTAATAGAGGTAGACAATATTGTAAACTTGAATGTTCAAGTTTACCTAATTCCCTTTTAACTACAAATAGTATGGGCACTAATTCCCCATAAAATGTACTACTCTGCCCTTGTAGTTTGTCTAATGCAATTGCTATAGGGCCTAAAACTTTACAATATTCCTCCATATAAACAATATCCACTTCTTTTAAATTAGGACTATCAATTGTTTCAAATAATAATTTTAAATCGGATTTATATTTTAATAATGAAGTCATACTATCATATAAACTGTTCCATCTCGTTATGCATGGAACCTTTAGCTGAATACCACCTGATCTTTTCAGAAGATTTGGGCCTTCCACATGCATTCCAAAATTTTGTGCATTTCCCCATTAGTCCATAATGAATCTTTTCAAGATTCTTCGAGCTTGATATTGATGAAATAATATCTTTAGTTGCAATTAAGGACAAAGTGTGGCAGTCACATCTGATGTGCCTGGGTATTATTATTTTGTTTATATCATCTAAAGATAAAGATTTTAAAAAAATTCTAAAAAAAATCTGTACCATCATTGATTTCATTAAACTCTAATAGATCATCCTCATCCTCAAAATCGTTGTCAATAGCATTTAATTTCACACCATATTCACTAAATGACTTACAAAATTGGATGCATTATCTGTGACAGTAGCAATTAGTTTATTAGAAATCCCATACTCTCTATAGACTTCTTCCGATAACTCGGCAATTTTATCAAATGAATGTGTGCCACTGCCAGGCATTCTTCTACATGCCAAGGCTCTTGATTGTTTTTCAAGAGTTTCTCTTGTTATCTTTGAAAATAATTTATAAAAAAAATTAAAATACGATATAAATACCCAGTGAGCTGTTATTCCCATAAAACTACAGGTTTTTGTAGACCACAAATCTGCCGTGGTACAAATATATGATTGGGCCTTTAAAATATTTTTTAAAGTATCTACATGATTTTCAAAAATTTCCTCTATTCTTCTCTGCAAAGACCTCCTTGAAAATATTTTAAATCATCCAATATTACTAAGAATATCTAGAATATCATATCAATATTAATCTATATAAAATAATCTAACCTTTCATCATTGTAACAAATTCAGGCTGTTCAACTAGGCTCAAAGGATGTAAACCTTTGACAATAAATTCACATATCAATTTTATTTTGGGTAATTGTTGGTTTTATTTTATTTGTAATTGTATTAAATGATTCTGATATATTAGGTTGAATCATTTTTTTTATGGTATTAGAATTTGGAGGTTTTTTTCTGTGCTGTTTTAAATATAGCTTATATTCAGAGAATATGGCTAAATGACATCTCTAATAAAAAAAATATACTAGTTTTATTTTATTCATTTATCTTTAATAAGTTTTTATCACTTGTTTATGATATTTATGTATTTTTTAAATTAGTTTCATTTTCTAATCTGATTTATTAATTCTGTCTGTGCTTGTAATATCATATTTACTTATTTTATCATCTTATAAATATCAGTCAAATCCCTTTTCAAATTTTTTAATATATTTCATGCAAAATCATTATAAAAAAAATATGAAAATAATGTACAACATTATATTATTTAATTATTAAATACATAACATTCTATTATGCATTCTAAATTGTTTAAATTTAGTAAATAAATACTGTAATGTAATTTCTTTTATTTAGAGCCTTTTAAAATTATCTAATGTTATATTATATCAATTGTAGCTTAAATATTTCTTCTGATAAGAGAACTTGTTAAAATAATTAAAAATAAAAAATATATATCCAAAATGATTTTAATTTGATAATCAACCATCTTCTATAAAAATTTTTAAAATAACCATTATCTAAGAGGGACTTAAGTATGTTAATTAATAAAATAAAAATGTATAAATATAATATAATACCTTAAGATGTTTAATTATAGATGAGTTTGTTGATCCTTTAATAACTT